AAAAATAAAATAAAAAAAAAAAAAAACTATCAAACTACAACATTCGTATCCTCCTCTCTATGTGGCCTCCATTTACGTTCAAATACACTTCTCTCCACCACTTTCTCAGTCTTCAACTTATCATCAATAAGCTCTAGCAACTCTTGTAACCCAACTTTAGTTAAAGCCGAGGTTTTAACATGTGGGGTATATTCAGATAAACATTCAAAATCCCTTTTAATCACACCCTTAAGGTTAGAAACGTCTTTTGGTTGATCCTCTAACGTCTTCCATCCGACAAATGATTCACTAACATCATCCCATTTCACTTCATCTTCACAAGAAATCCACTCATCATCATCATCATCATCATCATCATCATCCATGGCTTCTTCATTTACAGACATTTTAACGTCTTGAAGATCAATCTGAAAGTGTAGTATATCAAATATGATATGACGATATGTTTATTGAGATTAAGGGTTGGTTGAAGGAAGGGCGAAATGGACTTTTTACCTTGTTTAAAACCTCAATCATGTTTTCGAGTTTTGAAGTGGATACTCCTATTTGTTGAAGAACTTGTAACACAGACTCTCGTTGTTGATCGCGATTAGGTGCACTTGAATCTAATACATGCTATATGAATATATTGAATCACTTGATAATATTTAAAAAAAATAATAATAATAAAAAAAAGGTTTAGCATAAAAAGAAAAGTCAAATTGGTCAAAGCAATTCCTACCACAAGAAGATCGGCTTCAACAACTTCTTCCAATGTAGCATGAAACGCTTCCACTAACTATAATATGATTAAAAAAAAAAAAGAAAAAAAAAACAATTTAGTTTAGTATTATAAAATCCTAAAAAAATTAATGAAAGTAATTTTTGCATTGAAGAAAAAGACGAATTGTTTTAAGTTACCTGTATAGGCAAGTCCGATATAAATCCCACAGTGTCACTAAGGAGCACTTTCTTCCTAAATAAAAAAAAAAAAACGAATTTACTAAAGTAATAATAAATACATCACGAAAATTTAAAAGTAAAAATGGAAAGAGGAATAATAATATAATATAATAATATTTACCCTGATGGAAGAATAACACTTCGTACTTTAGTATCAACCGTTGCAAACATCCTGTATTTATAATGTTAATTTACGACGCAACATAAAGGGCAAAATCGTAATTACACATATATGTCATGTCATACCGATTGTCACAAAAGAGGTAAGTATCCGAAAGTGCACTAACTAATGTAGATTTCCCCTACAAAAGATTTATAAAATTACATTATGGAATTATGGTTGCTATTAAATGTTTTGTATTTTGATGATAATTTTCAATGTATGTTGCTATTTTTTTTATTTAATAATAGAAATAATATTAATTTATTTGTGAAATAAATATAAACCTACAGCATTTGTGTACCCAACGATAGCGACAGTTGGCATGTCTTGACCGTATGAGCCTCCATGTCTTTTGCGGGACGCGCGTTGCAGAGCGCGTGTACGGCGAACATCTTTTATTTCGGATAATAATTGATTTTTCCGTTCGATGATTCTAAAATTACATTTTTATTACTAAATTAATAAACAAAAATGTAAAAAAGTCATATGATTTATGTAATAAAGTTTGAGCATAAAAGGTAAAAACAAAACCTTCTTCTTTGAAGTTGAAGTTCGGTTTCTCCCGCACCACTAATAAACCCACGTCCACCACTTCCTCTCCTAATAACTCAAACCCCACACACACACACACACACAAAAAAAAAAAAAAAAAAAAAAAAATCGATTCACGAATAAGAAAGTATTTTTAAATAGTTTAAAGTTGCATTTGTTACGCATGACAGTACTGGACCATCTAGGACTAATTTTGACGATGAGGATAATAAAGGCATTCACGTTTTTTGCACAGATAACATATCGACATAAGTTTTCCTGTCCCACATTTTTTTGTACTTTTTGTACCATATATTTTAGTAAGACAAAAAATGTAATTTAAAATATACAGTTTTTTGTTTTGTCCTACTAAAATACATGGGACAAAAAGTACAATTATTTGATTTTAGTGGACAAAAATCTGTCCTTTTTGTCTCATATATTTTAGTAGGACAAAAAATTGTACTTTAAAATGTGGGACAAAAAATACATTTTTTTATCTTGTCCTACTAAAATATATGGTACAAAAAATACAATTATTTCAAATAATTGTACTTTTTGTCCCATATATTTTAGTAGGATAAAAAACTGTACTTTTGTCCCATATTTTTTAATAGGTCAGAAACCATTAACCATTTAGTCAGGTCTAGTTCAGTCCAGTCCAGTCCTGACTACGCACCCTTTGGCACTAACGACTTCAGCTTCTCCACCAAATGTGGAGCGGCCATTGCTGCCACGTATGCGAACAAGTCTGGTTCTTTTATACATCAAAGCAGCTAACTCGGCCTATAAAATTTCAAAATCATTATAAGTTGAAATTATATTATAATTTATAAAAAAAAATAATTGATAAAAAAAATAATAATAAAGCAGTAACCTGTAGTTTTGCTTCCTTTGTTTGAGCATGAGCATGAAATATCTCAATGATGAGACCTACACGATCTAAAACAGCTTTTCCCCATGCCCGCTATCATCATTATGATAAGATTTACTATAAACATATGATTAATAAATCTTTTATTATTAATATGTTCATGATTTAAATTTACCTCTAAGTTTCTCTGTTGAATTCCTGATAAAATTCCATTCACAAACACTGCATCTACTCCATCCTGTTATGAAAAATTACTCATTTTAAAATTTCATTATGAAATTAGAAACAAATATTGTGTTAGATAATAAAATATCACAATTTACATTTGAATCTTCAGCATTTAAATGGCATTTAATGTTGTCAACAGTTCCTGGTCCAAAGAAAGTATCTGCATCACACCCAAAAGTAAACAAAAATTATCAAACATTTCATATATTTAACAATTGGAGTTTTTGATTTTGAAGGTCAAACAAGCTTATTACATTGCAGCTTCCAAATTCATATGATTTCTGAAGATTTTCCGATAAAACAGATGATTACGAACGCAAAAGTGAAGTAAAAGATAGGAATAGACCAATATACATGATAAATTTGCAACAAAATACATACAATTCTACTAGTGAATATGAGAATATCACTACGTTTGACCCCAGAAGTCAAAATGTATGATCTTTTTTAAGATTATAGTTAGAAATTAGATGCTGAAAGATCTTGCGAACCTGCCCGAATTGATCGATAAGCTGGATTTTGCACAACAAGATGTGGGGGGGATTCTTTCTTCGAAAAATCGGAGCCGTAGTACCCATCTCGCTGTTCTTCAAGTGAATTCGCAAGGTTGAGAGCTTCATCGAGCTTGGTTTTCAATATGGCATCAGGTCGAAAACGAGGTTGTACAACGAACAATCTTGGAGGGGAATCTGGATCTTTATTGTAGTCATCTGCGTCTGCGTCTGCGTCTTCGTGTGTGTGGCGTATCTGTGAATTAGGGAACGAAGAAGAAGGGGTGATTGAAACAGGAGGAAAGATTGATTTTTGTGCGAGGGTTTGAGGGATGAATCTGAATGAAGCTCGTATGTGGTAACTGGCTCTAATCATTTGAAAGATTTTTGCTTTCTAATTGAATCGGAAGGGTTTAAGAACAATAGAGAAGAAGGAAGTTAGTGTGTTCGGTTTATGACCCGGTTGACATTGGTTTGGGTCCTTTGGGATTTTCAAGCACCCTCTTGTTCTAAATTCAACCCTCAAAATCAATATATGCCGCGGTATAAATTTAATATATGATTATGTAGACATGATTAAAATAAAATCTATAAAAACCTTGTTTAGGGTTTTAATAAATGATTCGTACACAACAGTTTTTTTTTCATACACAACAATGTATGCTTTAAAATGTTGCATTGTACAACGCTCCAAAACATAAATTATTGTGTACGAATCATTACCCATTTTTAATTCATAACAAGAGAGGTTGGAAGTCGTTCTTCGACTATCCCAAGTCAAAGTTCTTAGCTTTCCTATTTTAATCCAATGATAAGAGGTGATTTAGACCTTATTTAAATATGGATTTACAAATTCAAAACATTTTTATAGAGGCCAATTCGAAACGATCAATCTCTATAAATTAAGAAGGAACAAAAGACGATTTTTGAAACAAGTTTTTGCTTACTTTTCTTCTTCCATGAAATTACAATTTAAAGATGAAAATACAACCGAATCTATGCTAAAAATAAGGACCATGCATGCTATAATATTAAACGTAAACTCCTCCCGAAGCACTAGCTCCTTTATTGACTCAAGCAGGCAACGCCAAGTTGTAACGCCCGTAAATTTGGTTTGGACGTTTAAAGTATAATAATAATAATTATAGATTTTATCGAACAGATAAAATCCTTTAATAGGATAATTGTTCTTGGTACACGTTACGAGTTATATAAATACTTATTTACTGTATACATTGAAACATTGCAAAAATATAGGCCAAAAATTTCTTTTTAAAATCATTTATAACAAAATCATACGCCATCCATCATCATAAAGAAAACCATAATCGTGTATCTCAAAACATCGTGTCAAAATATTGTATCAAAATCATATGAAAACATCAGAGTCTAAACATCCCAGGCTGAAGCTGTGGTGTGTGCCATGCGATCATCTCGAGCCATTCCCCTTGCTAGTGGAAGTACCTGCAACCAAAACTGAAAACTGTAAGCACGAAGCTTAGTGAGTTCCCCAAACTACCACATACCATACAAATATTATGCAACTAGGAGATACGGGCCCCGCCCACTTTCATGGAGATTCGGTCCCCGCCCACACTCCGTTGTCTAGGAGATTCGGGCCCCGCCCACACCCCGCTGTCTAGGAGATTCGGGCCCCACCTACACTCCACTGTCTAGGAGATTCGGGCCCCGCCCACACTCCCATGTCTAGGAGATTCGGGCCCCGCCCACACTCCGCTACTAACATGCATACAAGTATCACACAGACAACAAGTATATCTACCAAACAATCACATATCTATACTCAAATAATACTATGAGAATCGGGCCCCGTCCACTCTAGTCTGCAACGAGATTCAGGCCCCGCCCACACTCAGCTACTAACATATCACATATACTGGTCCGCCTTGGTGTCGTAGACCCGTCCCTACTGAAGGAAACTCACCTCTCAAACTGGATGCTAAACTCGTGTGTGAGGAATCTCTGTTGGCTGCTCCCACGACTCCCCGGCTATCTCTATACAATAATACTTAGTCAGGAAACTGAGAATCTTTCTAAGGGTAAAATGACCATTTTACCCCAGCTCTAACTTTGGACCATTTCCAAGGTCCAATTCCAACTAATCCTTCTAAGTCCACTAATGACCCACTAAGGCCCACTAATGGCCCATTTTTTTCTAAATTGGGCCCAACTTCTCAAAAGGGCCTTCACTAAGCCCAATCATGTCCTTGGTCCAAAATCTGACTTCTGATGGCCCACTAAGGCCCAATAGCTGATAAGTCCAATAGTTGGCCCAAACCGAGGCCCAAAAAGGTAAAAGCCCAATATTGTTGAGTACGCGGGGCGTACTTCTCTATACGCGGCACGTACCTGTTGTATGGCTTGTACGCTGCGCGTACTGGCTGGTACGCCCAGCGTACTACCCTGTTAAGCTACTTTTCCCATTAAGCACTTAATACTCAATTCCAGAGGCTATAACTACAAATCCAAGTCCTTATCAACGTCCTAATCCATAAAGGCGATCACTATATGGCTTGCAACCCACCAAATGAGCCCAAACTTAGAATAATAGCAACCAACTCCATAGAAATGGCTAGATCTCATGCATGGTTCCATAAAAGGCTCAAAGATTGAAACTTTACTGCTAAAGGAATGCTTTGAGCTCCAAGGGTGGCAACCCTAAGCTCAAAAACGAAGTTGCATGATAAAGATCCATCCTTTCGACCTAAAAAGGTCCAAAGCTCCATAATCCTAGATCTAAGCTTCTAAGAGGGAAGTTAGAAGCTTTATACCTCCTT